GAGTTAATTTTCGATAAATCTATTCATATTTTTAAGAAACAATTTTGCTCTTGGAATATTTTGCTGTTTGGGTTGGAAATTTCATTACTTCGCAGACTCTGAAAGCATTTATTGAAAATTTGGTTTCTTACCATCAATACATAACTACTAACACAACAGAAAAGTTTTGCATGCTTTATGAATCGAAATCTTTTTGGGAGTGTTACACTGATCTTATTTAGGGAGTTTTCATGATGTCATAGATTATTCGTGAATTCATCTTTGTTTCCGCTTGATTTCATGGCTTGAAATTGCTTCTGGAAGGTATTATTTGATATGTGAATATGATCACTTCACTGATTCTAAAATAGAATAGTAATGATGCTGAAAAACACCTGAAGATTGACCAAGTCCGCGATGTTTGCAGGCACTGAGGTGAGTTTATTATGACTTAACGTCAGTCGAGTTAGTGCTTCGTTGTGAACTGCAAATACCATTTTGCATTCAAGTACTCACTAATTAATTCCACCAATTTTATGTTTTCCAAACTCAGATTTTCATTCTCCATTTCAAATGAAATGAAATAAAAATATCGGACAATGAGAAACGAAAAGATTTTGCTCCAAAATTCATTCAAATGTGCATATTTTTGGGAAATGCGACAGAAATGTTGGTGAAGTCAATTTCAAGAAATATTTTCATCGGAGCTTGGTGACTGCACTGAATGTTTACAATTAGTGATGGCATTTGGCAGAGTTCAATCGCATTCGATTGTTTCAATTGAATTTCGAGAGATTAAATTTAGCTTTCGGTTGGATGCTCTTGCCAATTGGAATTTTGTGTGGATGGATTGCTTTGAAATGATTTGCGATGTTTTTTGAAAATTTGATCAGTTCAATGAGGTTTTATGCAGGATTTTTGACTGCTGGATAGGCTGACGATCAGGTGCGAGAAGGCTGATGTGCTTACAGATATGTGAAATATCCTGGAAGGAGTGCAATCCCCGATCTACATACTCAACCTCGGCACTCGACTCGTCACGACTTCGTTCAGCCTTGCTTATCGTCGGCATCCTTCTTGTGCTGCTTCCGATCGCAATTCCTCAAATTTCCAAATACTGATCAAATCAATATCCTGAGATAATCCTCGCAATGCCTCGAAAAATCCCGAATATCCAATGAGAAAATTGAATCTATTGGATTTTAACGGAAAATTCCGCAGTTAATGATTGTTTAGGACTCTTCCGAAGAAATAAAGACATTCCTAATTTTCGAGTTCATTGAACAAAAAAGAACAAAGATTTTATTGAACAGTTCCAGATACAATTCCGAACAATTCCGCTTCAGTTTCTTGCGGTTATATTGAACAATGGAAGTGATCTTCGTATCGAATTTCAAACAATCGAAATTGAGGAAAAAACACAATTCACGAGAAATGTCATGTGCATTCCATGAATTAGAGTCGATCAGTTTTTCACATACCTGAGATAAAATTGCTACAACAGCAAAAACACATAATGAATAGGAGAATTTTATGGGAAATATACTATTCTCTGGCAGAAAACTTGAGAATTTATCTATTTTAAGGAACCAAATACGGACGAATGAGTCGACTCGGCAAGGAATCTGGCTTCTCATTATTATCGTTATTG